CGTATGCTCGCCAAATACTCTTCTGAATTCTCTGATGGGAATTTTCGCAATTTACAGAAGTCTGGGGAATCTTGAGGGGTACCTGGTCTTGTTTAGCACGCCTAGACCGGCTTTGCTCATCACTGCGCCCACGCTCCTTCTCCTACGGTCGTCTTGATACCATTCGAGCAATGTTAGTTAGGGAGGAGTGAGTGCGGCAGATTCTGTGCGAGTCAACGGTTCTTTGTCCTTGTGTGAGCATGTGTGGACGTCGTCGCTTGCGACGATCGAACCTTTTAGTATACAGTGCTTCTTAGCGTTTTAGTAGTGATTACGTTTACCTTTTTTTTCCAAAGTTAACCCATTGTGTTCACAGTTTATGGATTGATCTTTAGGTATGGATTTGTGGATTCCCGTACTGCTCTGTCTTCTGCAAGGTGCGTGTGTGTGACCTCAACTTAAAAACATGCTTTGCCCGGGTTTTGTGGTATTCAGTGGCCTATAGAGGCTTTGGGGTCGGTGAACAAATGACTTTTTACCAGATACATTTAAAATCTTGCGAGTTAAGTTTCCCGATTTTGTCAATATGATCGAGTTTGTCGAGTGAATGACTGTCACGCTCCCAGAGACCACTGTGATTCCTTTTCCCGCCTACAAGAATCATGCTCCCTCACAGTGGAAGCCAGAGGTGTTTGAATCGCATTGACTCTATTCATCGTCCACGCCAATACTGTCTTAGATCGGGTCAGACTGAGTAATCCGAACACACTAATGGCATTCATTCTCGATATACGACGCGTCAGCAACGACATTTCTCAAATCGGAAATCAGGAAAACATGGTTAGTGCAACAATCAATGATAGCATTCGTTTTAACAAGCCGAGTGTCAGCTGTTGCGAGTGTAAGACCCGGCGCAAGGCCTGCGAAAATATCAATCGACGCCACGGCGTCGGCAAGCCGAAGGATGAGTCACACATGACGCAAACGGTCAATTAGCGAAGGTGGCTCGATCGCTGTCGCTAAGCCGAATATATCTCCATCGACCTTCTTTCTACTTTTACTATTCCATTTTACTATTCACTGTCCAAGCATCAACTTGTGATGTGTGTACAAACATGTACACGAACATGTCAGTCGTCAACTCAATTTGCGGGTCAGGTTAATAAGCTCGGGTTCATAACCTTGAGGCAGTCAGCCTTGAACAAGTACCTCAAACATAAGCTTCAGGTTAAACACCTTAGGAACATGGCCAATAAACTCAATCTTTAATATTGGTGTGCCAGGCCCAAATTCGTTCAATTTAAACAACTTTCGACCGTCTTGTGCGACGGCGTCCACAGCGTACCCTGCGGGTCGGTTAGAGCAGCAGTGCTTTGCACGCGAATTAGTTTATAATGAGGCCATTGACCGTCTAGGACGTTGACTGGAGCCTGGGAATGGGAATAGGGAATATGATCGAGGGCTCGATACATGCTGTTCACTGTAAACAATGTGATGCGATTGAAGTTCTCGCAGTGCACTAAACGTCGTGGTTTGGAAGGTTGCCAACTGACTGGATACCGCAGACCTCGCAATCGTCCTAGTGTCCCAAGTATCCTTTCGGATAACTTCTCTACCATGACTGCCTTTTAGTCCTAAACTTGCGCAAGTTCCTCCTCTCCATTTTATGGTTACATCGGTGATTTATTTTTATCTAGTCGTTTGGCTCCTGTAATCACAGGGTCACCCTACTGCAAACTGCCAGAACACACC